GATGACGATGAGGTGGAGGTGCTGTTTAACAACACTGTGGTTTATCCCAGAAGCTCAGACACCCAACATGAGCATGTCTCAGTGCAGAACGCCTCTCTGGTCATCCACACCCTCACGCAGGCTGATCAGGGCATCTACACTGTGAGAGACAAGAAAAAGAACAGGACTATCAGTGTCATCACTGTCACTGTCACTGTCGAAGGTGAGGAGAGCTCCTACACTCTCATTTCTCCTGTTCCTCAGCTTTGAGCTCTTAAATTACAACGGAGACAGAGTTGAACAGATTATATCAAATAAAGTCAGGGTCCTGTCTACAGCTGAGAATGGAAATGTTATATTGGGGTGTTGAAAGATTCGAGGCTGATTGAAGATTTCAGGTGTGTCTGACACTGAGAGAAATGCCGAATACAGTTTGGAGAAGGAGAAATAGCTAGCAACAGATGATAGAGAGGAAACACTCATAGAATTCACCCCAGAAATCTCTGGAGTCTGTTTCCAGAATCAGATCCTTTCACTGCTGAACCTAAACACATGACTGGTGATGAAGATGTGCACAGAAATATCCTTTAACAGAATACAGGGGGTCATATAAAGTTTCTGTTGTCACCTGGTTTTTAAAACCGAAAATACAGTATATAATCCTCACATCTTTACGTACAAATCATTTACATTTCTGTTACTAAGTCCTAAATCTTAATATCTTACAAGGTAGAACTGGGTAAAAGTCCTGCTTTCATGATGTTCGGGTAGTAATTTGAATTATGAGACATTCATGTGGACCAGTTAGAACAATCAGTTCAGTGCCTGATCTGAATCAACACCAGTGAGTTACACCACATTGTCTGCTCTGTTGTCTGTACGTTTATACTGTTGCAGCCACACAGTATGGCTGTGTTCTGGATAGATGATCAAGAAGATTTTCCAGACAAAAAGAGCCATATCCTCTTTTCACAGTCAGATATCTTCAAAAAAGACACAATAGCAAATACAAAACTGATTTCTTTCTCTTCTTTTCTAATGTCAGACAAAACAAATCCTCATCAAAGAGATAAAAGTAATGTTTCTGTAATTTAATATTGCAGCTTCATTATGTAGTGTTGCTAAGTGTCATGCCCTCTGCAGCCAGAGGGCGCTCCTTCTCTGTCCTGTCCCTAGTTTCCAGTCTGCTGTCCTTCCTGTCCCTCTCTTCCTTGGGCTATATATTTCCGGGTCTTGCATTCTGTCCTCGCTCAGCATTGACGTTCGGATGTCCTGAGACCCGCCTAGCACCAGGGCGCCCCACGTCCGCTCCCTGAGGGCATAGGTTTCTATACGGCATTCCTGAACTCTTTGCACTATGAGCCCGGGCCTTATTCCCATCTCGCCGCTATGCACATGGGTCTTTTTCCGCTCTCCTGCTCCCCACGGTGAGTCCCATTGGATGTCCGTGACACTAAGTCTACCAGTGCAGTAGAACAGTCTGTTACAATAGGAGCTCCAGTCCCAGTCCAGTAGGACAGTCTGTTACAATAGAAGCTCAGGTTGGTGTGATGTGAGAGTGTGACCTTCAGGAAGTGATGGAGAACAGACTGACTGTGATCTAGATGTTCTCCA